ATTGTTGTACTTAGTTAGATACTGTAATCTTTAGAATTATTAATTTTTAATTACTGTACCTGTGGATATTGCCGGGATGAAATTGTGGTAACATGATACTAAATTATAATAAAATAATATACCTATGTAGTAGTAATATAAATAGTTATTAATTATTTCGAAATCAATATTTGTAATTATTTGTAAGCAATTATAATTTCGAATTCCTCTTAATATTGTAATTGCAATGTTTGGGTATCAACTTGTATTTGTAAACTATAAATAGCGGCTTCAACCTTTTTGTGGGGCATTACTATAATAAACGATAAACATTGAGAATCATGATTAAACTTTACCTCAAATATTATATTGTAAAAAGGTCCTTGTAAGCATTATAAGTCCAGATCTACTATTCTTGAATTCTAATACTGGAGGAAATGACTTACATAAGATGATTGTCCTTTAATTATAGATTGTAGAAAATAAACTTACTTTATTGTGACTAATATTGTAATTTGTGAATTATTTCATGCTTAAATGTGAATTGGATGTAACTGAAAAAATTATTTAAACTAGGTATCACATGAATTTAGCTTGTTTATTATCAATTTTTTTTGTATCGAGAATAAGTAACATATTTTTAATGGTCAGCATGATTTTTTAAAATGTTATATTTATTGATATTATAATTTTGGTTCAATTATTATTTATAACAAACATTATATAGGTACCAACGAACACAAGAAAGAATTTTGGACAATTCTATTTTAGCATTACACTAGTTAATAACTAAATTAACTAAATTCTAACACAGTTTTTTTGATCCAGGTATTCTTTCATTCGTAGCATCAATTATTTTGTCGGAAATACATCGTACAAGTATTGAAAAGATGTTTCTTGTACATTTGAAAAGGTTGTCGTCTAACTTTTGTTAGTTTCCAAAACTAGTATAGTTATTTGTGTACTCCTTTTCATCAGTTAAGGATCTTAGAACCAATATCTGTGGTATCATTGTGCTTAAAATAGTGATGGTAAATGATTCTTTGTTCAGAGTCTCACAGAATTTGTCTTGGATATAGTAAAAGTTCTACGAACCCTTAACCTCGCTGACTGAAAAATAATTCTTGATATTTCTTTTACTTTTAGACCTTACCTGTACCCTTTTAAATCTACCAAGGATTTAAGTTATCACTCATGACTTAGCACTTACAATTGCCATAGTTCTTTCTGATCTCTATGTATTTCACTTTTTCAATAGGAGTCTGCTTATATCTTAATACTTTTTCAGAAGATTCTATCGAATAGTCTGAAGTGTAGGGTTGGATATATTGGAAATAAAGCCACGAATCCGTGCGATACAGTATAATTTAAATACAGCAATTGGTTAAAAAGCGAATATTTTAGAATTATTTGCTAGTAGAGGTGAATGTAAACAGGTCAGAAAGTGCATATAAATTTCTGTGGGTGACGTTATATGAGTTTGCGTAAAGTGAAAAATAGTACATATGTACTATAATATTATTTCTATTTTTATCAACAAACAGTCCTAAAAGTCCGTGTGATTGGAAGTCAGATGTGGAATGATATTTCCATACTTCCTTTCCATCTTGTTGTTCTGACTAGTAAAATTTTGGGTTTAATCCTTTCAAATTCACAGTACACAAGTTGTAAAATCTGATTTGTCTCAAATAGCACACCCACACAGATGTTTTCGGCAGAGGTAAAATTTTTTGGAAGACAAAACAATAGCTGATGGAAACATCTATATCTTTTCTCATAATCTCATAGAATGAATTCGCTCTCTTATTCGTTTTTTCTATAATAATGTAGTTACGTTGTTTTTAAGTTTGAACTTATAGGAAAAGATTTTATTTTATGATTGAGTATTGTGCTAAGGTTCAACACATCGCTAGAATGGCGTCGTTAGGAAAGTAAGAGCACTGGGGAAAATAAAATAAATGGGCTCCAATGGTATCCAAAAAACAATTCTTCCGATTGTTAATCAAAAATAATTTATTCAAATGGCTCCCTCGTCTGGCCATGCAGTAGCCTACTCGATCGGTCCATCCTTAAGCATATTATCGATTGTGTTTTGCTGTATTTCACGAATGACTTCACGAATATTGTCCTTTGTAGCGTCAATTTACTCTGGCAAGTTATAGTAACACTTATCTTTGACGGTATCTCACTAACGATAGTCCAACGGTGTCAAATTAAAATAAAAAAAATAAAAATTTGTTTATTACTGTAACTTATACCTAGAAACAAATAGATTCAACTAGGGAGCTCCTTTTAAGAGATTGAATTATCTTGTGTTAGGAGTCCCCGAAATTGCAGTTCCGATTTCGAAATACCGGGTGCAGCTTTGGATGTGTGGCACGTAGCGCCGTCCTCTTGAAACCAAATGTTGCCAATATCCTCCTCTACAATTTTTGTGAACAAAATTTCGCTCAATATGTCCCGATAACGATCGCTATTGACTGTAGAGGCCAACCCTTGGTAATTTTTGAAGAAAAATGGACCAAGTATGCCTCCGGATGGAAATCCGCACCAAACAGTCCGCACCAAACAGCATATGGGGGTATGCACTTTTTCGCGAGGTTGCCAGATTTGTAATGATACTAGCATACAGGAAACTTCTTGTAGTTTGTAATTGATCTTCTAGAAGTCGATCGAGACTTCTGATGTGGCATCTGTCGGCTTCTGGAACGCGGGCGATGGTGTCTTGTGGTGAGCTCGCTGACCTGTTTCGTTAGCTCGGTTATTTGTCGAGCCATCACGTCCATCGCCGACTCCAATCTGGATACTGAGGCGACTGCCATCTGCTAAATCAGCCAGATCCTGTAACGTCATGTTGGCCTGAGAAGCGATTATCGTTTACGTTCGTATAGTAAGACGTTATATTTTTGATGGTATTGAAGTCCCTCGATTTGATTGTCATCTTGATGTTGTAATCCTCGGTCTGTCGACTGGTTGCCGTTGTTGCTATAGTGACGATTTTTCCAGTACAGAGTAGTTTAGAGAGAGATATCACGATCGGACGTCTCAATCGGAGGTTATAAATATATGGCGATTTCTTCGCTCGCCTCGGCAGTCTGACCACTTCGATGAAACTCCTCTCGCTGTATTCATCACTCCTGAAGTCACTGTCATGTCATTGCATGTGAAGGCGGGCTTGAGCCTGTCCAGCTATACGACAGTAGTGCGAAGAGGCGTTTTTATCTTGAAATATTTTTTCATATATCTTTAAAACTTCGTAGGGTCCATCGTACGGCGGAGTGAGGGGTGCTCGAACTGTGTCATTTCTTTACGGCTTTAGTGTCTCATATGACGGTTGCACCGTAAGAAAGAATAATATCTCTTCTACGTTTCTCATCCACTGAACTTCCATACATTACGATTTCGGTAATAGTTTTTATTAAATTGTCTTCATTTTCCAGCCGTGGGCGACCGAGCTGCTTGTGTAAAGTTATTATCGATTCTGCTCCAGGTTTTGTAGCTACCAAAGCTTGAAAAGCTTTTTTTTCTTTTTCCTATATTTTTTTGATGCTTTTTGGTTACTTTTTAGTTTCTCTAAATTCATAGTTTCCTTTTTTATTGATTTCTTCGTTTCGTGATACAAGCAAAAAATGCAATTTTTTTATTTATAATATGAAATTCGAATGAAAAATATTATGTTACCTTGCAATTAAAGTACTTACTTACCTATAATATTTTTTTTTATCTGGATTAGCTTCAAGATTTATTCAATAACACGAGATGAAAACTTTCAAATTCACTTGTTGTTAAAATTTGTAACTGACGGCTAACAATGACGCATACGAAATGGCGGACCAATCACAATGCTTTACTTTTTGGTTCAGAAACTACTGGCTCAAAATCACCAAGGATGCGAATTTCAAGATAAGTTTTATTGAAAAAAAAATGCAAGCTATAATGATGACTCTTGGCTTATATTGTTGCAAAATGTACATGTTAATACGCTTTTATAGGGCAGCGCACAGAATTCTATATTTTTTTAATGGACATGTACCAGAAAATTGTAATTCCGGGAACGTTTTTCTAAGTTGAATAAAATGACCAAAAACAAAAATAACACATAATTTGTGCGTTGTCAAATAGCATGGGTATAAAATGTATCTATATCATATAACCAATAATGAAAACAAAAGATATAAAATCTTATATAGCAAAATACGTCAAAAAATTAAACAAATTGCTATTACCGTGTATAAAATTCAAGAAATTTCTTAATATACAAAACGTTTATGATGGAATTAACATTAAATGAAGAAAATGAAAGTTTTATTTAGTAATAAATATATATTTTTTTAAATAATACATCAAATTCTGCGTATTTTATTGAAATTTTGTGATATTCCCGGAAATGATCAACCGTTCTCGTAATGACAAACATGTTGACGGAATGACGATATTGATATTATAAGGTATAGTAAGGAAATGTTTGAACTTTAGACAACGGTTTAAATAAGAATTATTTATTTGTTTGCACATGAGAAATAACTCTTAATATTAATAAATTCTTATAATTAATTATGTCTTTTGGTGTGTTACAATCAGTCTAGTGGAACTTCTATAATCGTAGTTATAATCTTCTTATAATTTTAATCTGAAACCTCTACTCTAAAATCACAGTTTACTTAAAAACTAAACTTTTACAAATTATAGAAAAAATATAAGTAACGTCAGGAAATCAACGTAAAATTCTGGAACAAGAAACAAGTTAACTAAAATACTATTTAAAAAACACAACAAAACTTATTATTTTTCTAAAACATCAATATCATTATCAAAATAATAATATTCTCTATTTTGTTCTTTTTACAGTAATTTGTAATTTTGTTGAAATGTTTTTCGCAGAATGTCATGTAAAGGTCTTATTTTATAAAGTTTGTCAAAGTCTGGGCTGTTTCTGTTGGGAATTACTCTATTGTCATTTACGTGCAAGTTATTCAAAAGCCAACTAACTGAATCTGTTGAAGCTCATGACAACTGTCATGTTAATCAGGTGCTGAAGACCAGTAATCTCTGTAGCTCGGCAATTTTTTTATACCCACCACCAAGTTCAAGGCAATGAAAGCATCAAGCTCCTCAGTTGTGGTAGTAAAAGGCTTTCCAGATTGAGTAGCGTAAAGGTTATTTTGAAAACATAAAATGTCCTGTAAATGCTCTGTCCAAAAAAGGTGAAATAGTGAAAGAGGCGTAACATTCTCCATTATTAGTACTTGATCCGTTTTTCCCACGTTTTCTGAAAACTCAGCGGGTATGTTCGTCCTATAATTCTTCTTCCACTTTGGAGCTACTGTAGGCCTGTTTGAATGTTCGATGTTGGGCTCTGCAGAATCAGGATTCCGGGATACTAAGTTAGACAAAGGGAGGTCATCATGGGAATCAAAATCGTTTGCTTGAACTTCTCCAATGAAATCGCCTAACACCAGCGGATTTGGCTGATCTTCTCTTTCTTCTTTGTCATGCTCATCGCCACATACACTCTCGTTATCTGAAGGAATATCTACCCATAAGTATTCTGCTACTTCTCTATTGTTTAGTCGGCGCGAGTGACGCGACATACTGTAAACAATACGAAAAAGACATTAGCAATAACGTCCAAAACCTTCATGTAGATAAGTTACAATAGTCACGGTGGTTAGTAAACTAACCACAATATTTTCGTTGTCATTGCACATAGAAAAACACAAAACTTATTCTAGTATTTTTAAGTAAATACGTATAATTTAGACATATAAGGATACATTTATAAAAAAACAATAAACAAAGAAGCTCACTTACCTGTTTTACAGATTTTTTTATCGAGCAGGCGAATAAGAGTCCGTTAGCATAATATTCACTTCAACGCAAATTAACTATCATTCATTCAATATACCGTCAATCGGTCGAAACTTGTCAAACATAGTCCAAACGTTCGTAACAACTCAACCGTTCGTACCTAAATGGCGTAGATTCTATTAGAAAAAGTCGGAAAAAGGTGGTTTGAGACACTATTTATTTATTAATTTGATCTACCAACATTTGTACACATAATCACATACTTAAAATACACATAACTTTAAACTAGGTGTGACAAACATTTACAGGTAGATACATCATGCTTAATATTCCTCCCAGCGCGAGCCGCAGTAAAAACAAAACCAAAAAATTTTAATAAAAATATAAAAAAAAAATAATAATAAAAGGTAAACTTAAAAATAAAATAAAAAATTAAATACTGAATGAAAAAATTAAATTAAAAACTAAAAGTGATTCATAAGACAGGAAAAATACAATATTAAGGTGAAAGGGGGAGTGTGTTTAACAGTGACCGAATTCTTTTAATTGAGTCGTCATGAATGTCAAACACGTCGCTGTAACCACCAAGACTGAAAGATTTAACTGTGTATAAGAGGACGCGCCTTTGTTTTTTAACAACATTATGTTTTACACAGTCACTCTTACATGGGCACATTCGACTCACATCATCTCGTTCGAAGAAATCAACGACCTTTTGGCGAGCGTCTTTCTTCAAAATTACTTCTCGAATTTTGGCATCAGATTTTAAAATCGATTGAACGTGTCTTTCCTTTTGCCTAGGTGGTAAAATTCTCTTGGCCATATGTAGCATTTTATATTTCCGCAGATACATTTATGAAAGACTTCTCTCTCTTTTCAATTTTTTGGAAGACCATCAGCCTTTTGTTGCAATTGATTAGTCAATACTTTACTATATATAAGTCGTTTGCGTACTTCAGGAGGTACTTGAATATCTTTAATTAAGGTATCAACTTTTCTTACGGGACTTGGTATAGTTTTCTTTTTTGCATCTATTCTTTGTAGTTTTTTCTTCAAAGATTGAATTTATCGCTTCATTTCAACTATAGTTTCTTCCTGCTTTTTAATTTTTCTGTATGCTTTCGCCCTATCTTTTTTTAAAGGGTTCTGAATCGTGTAAAACTTTCCGTTTCGTTTTTGATACAATATGCATTTAAGGGCACTCTTTAATTCTTTTTGCATGTTGCCAATGTTCTTTAGTAAAACATTTATTGAATTGACTCAAGTAACTAACTGAAAATGAAATATCAGGGCTAGTTAAAACAGACAAATACATCAGACTACCTATCAGGCGTTGATATGGTAAGCTAATATCACATTCATTAATTATTATTATCAATACTGAGATTAAGTTTACATTCCATTGGTGTATTTGGTGTGTGACAATCCAACGTTAAATTTACTTAGCAACTGATCTATTTAGCCCTCTTGATCTAATGTTACAGAATCTTTATTGCACACAACTCTCATACCCAAACAATGTCTTATACTACCAAAGTCTTTCATCTTGAAATTCTTTTCTAAAGACCTTTTTAAGTTGATTACTTTATTACAATCATTTAGAAAAAATCATCGACATATATTAAGCCCAGACGCCTTCTGCGGCAATATCCATATCACTGGAAGTTGGTGTATCTGAATTCTTAAAGAAATTTAACATGGTAGAAATCGGTACGACATTATTCACATCTAACATCCAAGGGAGCACTACACTGTTGCTTTAATAAAGGATATTGACTTCGTAAATTAGCATTAAATGTGCATTTACTTTTCGGCATTGCAAAAAACGGCCCTGACCTCGATATCCTTCCCCGTGTACGGCTCAGACAGCAAGGCTACGATGTGTTCGCTATTAATGAAGCATATAATGAACCCTTTAAGAGAGTGTTTGGACCTGTCTAGATTGCACTGAATGATTTTAATTTTGTGTGGATCCATAATCGACAGAATTGAGTGTTCTGGAATGGACTGTTCTTAACCCTCTATCACTCAAGAACGTGGATTTTAAAATAAAAATTGGATCCGGGTTTAAAACGACAAAATAAAATACACGTGTTTCAGTATTTTTCATTTATTAAAATAGTTTAGAAGATATTTTTTGAAAAGGGGAGTGTTGCTTTAAAGCAACACTGGACCATAAGACTAAAAAAACATAAAACTATGTATTAGAAACCTATTTCTGAAAAAATTATGATAGGTGAAAATTTCTAAAATAATTCTTAGTTTTGGTATAACACAGTGCTACCCCACATTTCTCACACATGTTATACGTAAATCCAACGCACTTTGAAAGCTTGCACCTCATTTTTTTTCCAGACCATTGTGGCCAGTGGCCTATCTGGTCTTGGAGGTACGTATTGTGCAGGTCCTTTGTGCCTTTTGGCTTGAATCCTGGTCTCCAGCGAACGCCGGCCAGACATACCAGATTTTGTACCCATTTTACATAGGGTCTGTCTGTCAATGTCTGTGACGTAGCCTTGTGTGTGGTGGGGTGTTTAAAATTAAATCTGATGTCGTATTTGGTACAGTTATAGGTCCGGACCCCCACGGGCTTCTGTTTCTTTAGGTGATGCATCCCCTTGAGCTTCATGTCGAAGCGCATGGAGGTCTTGCTGCCCAACGTCTTTTTTTTTCTGCCTTAAAGTCCTCTGTTTTGTTGGTGTTACTGCTGTTTTGGTAGATGTTTGTTTAACAGTCTTAATAACAGGTCTCCTTGCCGGTTTTTGACTGGTTGAGCTGGATGGAGCAGATGTTGGCGCCAACTTTTGCTCTTGGGATTGATCGGCCATTTTTGTTGGGTTTTTTTGGGCGATGAGTGCACGGGATGTTAATTTTGTGTTTATAAACGTGTAGATCTCGATGTCACGTTTCTGCCGATACCAAACTCGATAGGGTTATTTCCACCCTTTAGTGAGTTATGCCCCCGGGAAGGTTTTCCAGGGAAATGCCTGTATCTCCTTATAGGGTGGTCTCCCGAGGGAACAGAGGTGTCAGGGGGTTAGTCTTGAGATGTTTAATTTAAGAGTGGTATCAGGTACTCGCCAGCTGGCCTGGATCGACGACCACGTGCCACGTGCTATCTGAAACCAATCTACGGCGACTTTACGTCATCTTCCTATTTTGCGCAGGGTCTTCCTCTTCTCCTATTATCAAGTGGGCCTTTCCAGGCTGTAACTATTTTGGTCTTGCAAGCGTGCTACATGATCACCCCATTTCCATTTTAGAGTCACCGCTTGTACTAGTCCATCTTTGGCCTTTGTTGTCACTCTTTTTTTTGTGTGACGTATTCTTTGGATTTTTTTGATGTAGCATGCTATGCTCCATGCCTCGTTGACATTTTACTAATATACTTTTAACGCTAATGGTATATTTCGACGTTTGGCAGGCGTATGTTAAGTAAAGTAAGAGGCAAGAGATCAAGAGACCCTTCGAATTATATTGGTTGGTAAGCTAGCTGCCTTTGAATATTTCTTTTAGGTTCCAGTACTTATTCCATGTTAGTTATCTTCTTTGTTCGACTTCATAATCGTTATTTTCGGGATTGAAGCTACCTAGGTACAAGCACTGGTCTGCACATACATAGGTACATATCGGCAATGAGCCTCTGATATAGATGTCAGAGGCTCGCAACCGACCAATATTGAATTATTTCATTAATTACATAATATGAACCTAATTGTGTTATGTTATAATACTCTCGAGTTCCTATATCTTATACTCTATTACTACCGTAAATACTACGCGGCTTGTAAATTATAGTTCGGGCAGTAATAAAACGGGTTATATAATTACTAAGTGAGCGACTGACTATAAGTGACGAAAAATCAAAAGAATAATATTTTACAAACATTAATATGAGTTACTTAAAATACAAAATGAGGAGCTTCATAATATTTTAGCGAATTAATATTTGTTTGAGTATCAACGTTACGGCCTGTATTTTTTTCAATATTTCCCAAATGTATTTTTTATACTGAGCGGCATTTTATCTTAAATGAAGTGTTTCGAATACAAAAACCACTTTGAAAAATACACTAATGGGCAGATTATAAGGAGCTCACATTAAAAAGGAAACATCATTAGCTAAAAAAATTTATTATTTAAATTTAAAGGTAATTAAATAAAACAGTAAACTCCGTAAAACTAAAGTAGTATGCAGTTAGGTAAATGAACAAAAATGAAATAAGACGCTTCAGTCAACTAACAAAAACAAGATGTTACTTATTTAACATTAATTGGTGAAACTGGGTCTTAACATTTCTAAGTAATCAAAAAACAATAGAAACAAAAATCTAACAATATTTATCTTAAAAGTACTATTATCATGAAATTAAGAACAATAACAATATAATACTATGAAAGTCAACTATCCCAGTCTTTATAACAGCCTTTTGAGATTTTTATAATGTTATATAGGGTGTCTCACGGAAAATTTCGAATTTAAAAAGGCTATAAAAAAAGAACGACTCGATAGATTTCAATGATCAAACATTTATTTGAAAGCATAATTCATGACATTATTTGTGAAAAATTATCTCGGTCAAATGTCCACCACAGCTTACTTGGCAGTACCCTATTCGATCAGTCCAATTTTTCAGTACATTTTCAATTGTTTCCGGCCTTATGGCAGCAATGGCAACTTCAATTTCATGTTTCAAGTCATCAATCGTGCTTGGCTTGTTGGCGTAACAAACGTCTTTGACCGCTCCCCAAAGGTAATAATCCAATGGTGTTAAATCGCAGCTTCTTGGAGGCCAATTCACATCACCATTTTTGCTGATAATGCGATTTTCGAAGATTGGGCGCAAAACATCGACCGTAGCATGGGCTGTATGGCACGTAGCCCCGTCCTGTTGAAACCAAATATCGTCCAAATCATACTCTTCCATTTGACCGAAAAACCAATCAGTTAACATAGCGCGGTAGCGCTCGCCGTTGACGGTTACGGCGGTATGTATATGTATCGGTTTCTCCTCAACGACGTGCGGGTTTTCTGTGCCCCATATACGGCAGTTTTGTTTATTTACATAACCGCCGAGGTGAAAATGAGCCTCGTCGGAAAAGATGATTTTTCGATAAAACTCACCATCTTCGGCCAAACGATCTTCCGCCCAATTTGCGAACCGTAGACGTTTCGGATGATCAATTGGCTTCAGCTGTTGGGCCAACTGAACTTTATATGGCTTCAGGGCAAGATCTTTGCGCAAAATTCGGTGCGTAGTTGACCGAGAAAGGTGCAACTCTTGCGCTCGATGACGAATCGATGTGGATGGCCGTTCACGAACACTTTGTTCCACCGCAGCGATGTTTTCGGTTGACCTTGCTGGAAATGGACGTTTACGTGTTGTTTTATCCAACAGTGATCCAGTTTCGCGCACACGATTCACAAATTGCCGCACATATGCCTCCGATGGCAAATCTTTTTTGGCAAATATTTTTTTCAAATTTCGCACAGTTTGCGTTGGCGATTCACCACTTTGGAAATAATTTTTTAATATTTCCCAGCTTTCCTCAAGCGAATAGCGACCCATTTCGTAAATGTCAGACTTATTACTAAATATGTGACACTTCTCCGATGACAGTTGACGTCTCCAATGTCAAATTATCGTTAGTTCAAATTCGAAACGCTAGATGGGACACCCGTTATTACTTGACTTTAATATTATTTTGAGGTAATTTTACTTAATTATAAGACTGTTGTGAATATAAGCTGTGCCAGTCACTTGATGCTCCAAGAATGTCCCCTTAAAAGCGACCATTTAGGACGACTTATCATTAATGATCACATCCATTTTTATACCTTGGCATCTTTCACGAATGACAGTAGCGAACTCATTCAGGTTTAGTTATATCTCCTCCTGTAGCAATCACTTGGTCTGCTGTTCGTTTATAAGTGGCCCCTACAAAAATTTTCGGAAAAATCCATATGTACAATGACATCGGTTTCAGATAAAGACTCTTTCAATTGCTTAATGGCATTGTACTGATGTAATATGTTAAAAGAATTTAACCATATCATTTTCTAGTTTTGTAATGGCATTTCTATGTGACATTTCCTGTGTTTCTATTTTACATTTCGTCACAAATCGTTATTTCTTCGTTTTCAGATCTATTATGGACTCTTTCTTCTTCACCCACTGTTTTATTAATATTGGTTTTGAATTATTGATTTCCGTATAAGTCAGAGTTTTTGAGCAATAATTATCACATGTTCTCGCTAGACATCTTTCAGAATATCGATCACAACAAAGCAGTTCCCCCCTACCTCCCACCCCTCCCTATCCCTAAAAAACAAGGTTGGCAACGCATCCGCAACAAAATGTTGCGGATGTCAATGGGCGACGGTAACCACCTTCCATCAAGTGGGCCGTCTGCTCGTTTGCCACCTTTCACATAAAAAAAAAAAAAAAAAGTTCCAACATATTTTGATGATTACTCACTGTTATAAGTGTATTTTCCTTCTTTAGAGCAGCTAGTTGAAGGTCCATGTTTTCGTGAATCGTGCAACTACTCGTACAAGTTTCACGGCTTGACAATGTAGGCTAAGAGGCCAAGAAATCTTTTAATTTCAGTAATTGTCGTAGGCAATGTACTGTTATTTATGACATTAATTTTATTTGAATTTAGTTTTACTCTATTCTTACATACTATATGTAGGTACTAACTCTGTCTCTAATTTTAAAAACTCCTATTTATCCATCTGGGTCTTAATGTTAGATTCACGCGAACGTTTCAGAATCTTTTCTATGTTAATCATATGTTCCTGTTAACATGTACTAAATATGACGACGTCATCCAAATAAACCAGACAGATTTAGTTTTACCGGAAGCATCAGCCTTTTTAGGAACTACCCAAATAGGAGAGCTCCACGGGGATTCGAAACCGAATTATATTCTGTCCGAGCATTTTTTTTATTTGTTCTCTTGTTTGTGAATATACCAATACGTTTAAGTTTTAGTATGAACGTGGAATTCGTGTTCTTTGGTTTTCATTGTGTGACATCGGTATACCAGAGATTTCAAGGTTATTTTTCTTCCATTTATTTATTTATTCTTCATTGTACAACATACTAAAACTAAAATAATACATTTTCGTTATATATATTGTACTTGTATGAGGTACAACAGGCGGCCTTATCGCTGAGCAGCGATTTCTTCCAGGCAACCTTTGGGTAGAGGATCCTAATGTGGAAGGGTACAGTAACTTGTTCTTTAAGACTCGTTCCATCTTGTTCTTTAAGACGCAGCTGATCCGTCAATGTTGATACCAAGACTGTTGTTGATCTTTTTCGAGACGATTAATGTCCAAATTTATGTTTTCGGTAGGGGAAAACAGGTAGGATTCGTACACTTTTTACTTTTAGCTTTATAACAGAAAAGTTTTTCGTTATTGCAAAATCATTTTAATGCTATTGTATACCCTATATATTTGGCTATA